GCTTGAATACATATATTTTAACTTCATTTTGCATATGGCATTTGAATACATGGATTCTTTATGCATCAATATATGTTTGAGTTATTTGCCCTTTGAAAATTATTCTATACTTTGAATTGATCTCCTTTTTTTTTTAATGACTAAAAACGAGAGATATTTTGTGGACAAATTTGCTTTAATACATATATGTGTGCTAAATGGATATATTTACTTTGTCATAAATGTATTGGATGCTAGATTATGACTGTTGGATGATATTGACTATGATGTTGATTAGGTTAAGAAATGCATTAGTTGCGGGAGAATTTTGTTAGGAAACATGCATGGTTTAAGACAGAGTTTTATTTTTTTTCTAAATGGTTTTCAAAATTAATATATTTCAAAAAAAAAAAAATTTTTGTTAGCAAGGAACTTATCTTTAGGTGTTGCTATATCAAAAAGAAGGAGATTATTATCCTTAAATTGATCATTATTTTGAAATAAAAAAATTAAGCTAAATAAACTTGATTAAGATATTAAAAAAGATTTATTTAGTATATATTTTTAAGTTTTATTATTTTTAGTACTAAGTAAATAATATGTTTTTCAAAGCGATATTTGATTTAAAAAACATCTTGGAAAAATGTTTTAGAAGCTTGGTCTTAATTTTTTTTCTAAAAAATACAAGTTTCCAAGATTAACTATTATTTGAAAAATGTTTCTTAAGTGAGTATAAACCTTTTTTATGTTTTAAAATTGCTCAAATCAAAACTATTTTTAAATATTATTTATTTAAGTTTAAATAAAATCCTAATTATTGTTTTTAAAGTTAATTTATTCATTTTAGACTCAATAAAATTTTGATAATATTGATTTTAAGAAATAGATTAATTAGAGAAAGATGTTCTATAATAACAAAGTTTTCTAACATTGAATATGTTTTATTTTTCTGTATTGATTTACAAAACTTTAATATTTGAATTATATATAGTTGAAAAGATTTTTTATTATAGTTTTTAATGGATCAAATGAAAATAAAATCTAAATTTTTTAAAAAAAGATTTTGAAAAATTACTAGAGACTATGTAGGTTCTCTAACAATTGCACAAAGGGTAGTTTTAGAATTTTACTATAATTTTTGTATATTGAATAAGATGTTGAATTTTTATATGTATATGCATAAAAAGCCCTTTAAGTTTACTTTTTAAATCTTCAAACATGTCTTAATTTGGAGTTATATAACTTAAAATATGATCAAATTAGTAAGTAGAAGTGCAAAATAAGATTTAAGTTAAGGCAGTCAATTGTACTATTCATCCAAACCACATTGAAAGCAAAATCAACATGACCGATCGATTGCCTATGAAAATGGGTTGAAACCCTAGCTTGAAACGATCAAAATTTTAAAAAAATATTCATGACCCGATCAAATCCCTAATGGACTAGATTGATCCCTTTATTCTTATAGCTTCCAATGACTAGTTTGTCAAGAGATAAACGTTTTATTTCTTTTCCAACTCAATCTTAATAGCTCTAATTATTTTTCTTTTTAATATAAAGTGGTCTTTCAACACCCATGAAGGAGAGAAAAACTTGGGAAAAAGTACATAAAGTCATATTTTTAGAGCTTAATTTCTTATCTTTTCTATCCAAACTCTCTCATTTATCATTTACACCGTTCTTGTACTTCAATTAGCAAACAACTACCTATTAGAAGTTTTATTTGGTTTGTAGAATCCTTTATCATTCAAAGGGTATTAGTGAACAAGATGTGAGGTAGCATCTCAAGATATTTGTAGTAAGGTTTGTGTCGAGTCCAACAAAGGCATAGATGTTCCTATATTGACCTTGATAAGATAGAGATTTTAATTTGTATATGAATATTTTTCTAATAGATTTGAAGTTTGGCTAAGAAACCTAAGGGAAATGACATAAATGCCTTTGAAAAAGGATTGAATCTCTGTTTGATCTCTTTACTTTTACTCCTTTATTTTCATTGTTGTTAATTTGTGCTTTAATTTCATACTCTTCTTATATTTTTAATTTCCCGTTTATATTTATTTGAAAATTTATCTTTGGAAAGTAATTTGAAGATAATCCAATTCACCCATCTTGGATTGTTATCTACACTTAAACTAACAAATAGTAACTTGTATCAAATTTTAGAATAACATCAGAAGGATTGAGATATTTGTTTTTGTAGCAAAATTAAGAAATAACCAAAAGAAAGACAACAAAGTAATCTAATTAAGGCAAAAGCAAAAGACATCATACTTTTATAGTGAAATATATGATCATGATATGCTAACATGAATAAATGAACCCAGAAATCCTTTTAATAACTTGGTTAACCATAAAGAAACTACCAAAGCCATTTATAGATTTCTATGATTTTAGAATCAAAATCCCAAATTTTTAATTCAATGGTTAAAATTGTTCTAAAAAAATCTTAGATACCAACTAAGTGCTATTAAAACTAATATAAAATCTACCTAGGAATAACAAATAATATGGCTAAATCAAAAAAATTTCTTAAATTTCTTTGTATCTTGATTTAATCTTGGAACTATTAAAAAACAATACAATTACCCAATACCTAACATCATCAAAATAATTATTTTACAAACTCTTTTTCATTAGTTGCCTGAAAAGATGAATAATAGATGAAGAAAAACATTAGAACTAAAAAAGGCTTAGATTGAAGGAGAATTGAAGAAGTCAAAGGTTGAGTGAGAAGTGAAGAAGATAAAAGTTGAAAAAAAAGTGAAGTTGTGATTATGATTGTGATTATGATTGTGAAGAATTGAGAAATAAAAATAGATGTAAGTGAAGACTAAGAAGGCTAGGGATTTAACTATTGTAGAAAAAATTAAATGATATGGTCTTAATTGATTTAAAATTCCATTTTCTTTTATAAAACATGTTTCCAAAATGTTTTGTAAAATGATTATTATGCAAAACGACCAATGTATTATAAATTTTCTGTCAGTTTGGTATTTGAAAAAATATAATTCTCATATTAATACTCTAACATTCATTCTCTTAAACAATTTGGTATTTTGCACGATTTACTATAAGTTAAAGTGATTAATGTAGCATGAATATCCAATAAAATCATATCGCGTATCATAAATGTTCAATTATTGCCATGTTAGTAAAAAATTTCAAAAGATTAAAAAAATAAATTCTAATTTTTTAACAAACCAAAAAAGAAAAATTAAAAAAAAGGGGTTAAATACATATTTGGCCCATAAAATTTGTAATTTTGGTCACATTGGTATCTAAAATTTTTTTCTGTCACATTGGTACACAAACTTTCAAATTTTTATCATGTTGGCACCTCCGACTTTGTTAGTCGACTTTATTAACGTAGTATAAATATATAATAAAATGCTAATACGGGTCAAGAAGTCCAATTAACCCCACATCATCATTGCCACATCATGCCACATCATGGCACGTCATCCTTAAAATAATTGAGAAAAAATAAAAAAAATTCTTAAAAATTTAAAAATAATTCTAAAATAATTTTTAAAAAATTTTAAAAATTTTACAAAATTCAAATAAAAATTTTAAATTTTTTTAAAAATTTAAAATAATTTTAAAAAATCTTAAAAAATTATGAAAAGTTTTTAAAAATTCTAACAAATGCTCAACAATTCTAAAATAATTTTAAAAAATTTTAGAAAATTCAAAAAAAAATAAAATTTTAAGAAATTCTAAAAGCTTTTAAAAATTTTAAGATATAAAAAGTTAAAAAAATAAAATTTCTAAAAAAATTTAAAAAGAATCTAAAAACTTTTAAAAAATTAAAAAAATTTAAAAATTTGTAGAAAATTAAAAAAAAATTTAAAAATTTGAAAAGAATTAAGAAAACTTTAAAATTTTCAAAAAATTCCAAATTTAAAAAAATCCAAAAAATTTTAAAAATTTTTCAAAATTTTAAATATTTTTTATAATATTTTATAATAGTTTTAATGTTTTAAGAACTTTTTTAATTTTGTAAAATTTTTTTTAGAATTGTTTAAAATTTTTACATTTTTTAAAATTTTAAAAAAATTTCTTTTAAATATGACATAAGCATAACATGATATTAATGATGTGCTAATAGTTGAACTTTTTAAATATATATTAGTATTTTATTAGATATTTATATTATTTCAGTAAAGTTAACTGACGACTTTAATAAATGATATCAAAATATAATGATTTGAAATTTCAGATGTTAATGTGATAAAAAAATTTTAAATATTAATATGATAAAAATTATAAAATTTAAAGATCAAATATATATTTAATCCAATAAAAAATAAAAAGAAAAAGATCAGGAGAGAGAGAGAGAGGGGGGGGGGGAAGGGGGATAGAGTGGCAAAAAGGAAAGGAAAACGGACAACATGTCGGCACCAATCAGACTCAAACGAGCTGGTTTGGTACCGACCTGTCAGGTCCGGGACAGGTAGATCCCAATCCAACCCTTAGCTAGCCGGCGAAGTTGCCTCTTGCCTTCTACTTTCATCTCTTTCTTCCTTCCTTCCCCTTTTTTCTTTCCCAATTTTTTTTTATTTTGAATTAAAAAATATATTTTAAAAATTTTTGAATTTTTTATTTAATGCTAAAGTAGAAAAGAGATGATATGATAATGATTGAACACGTGTCATGATTTTAATTTTATTAAATATTAATACTACGTAAATAATTTAACTAATGCTATTAATCAAAAATATCAAAAAGCTTAATGAAATAAAAATATAAATACTAAAGTGAGAATTTTATAGCTTTAAATATCATTAAATATCAAACTAACATAAAGTGTATGTAGATACATTTTATATTTAACCCATATTAAACGAACACATTTGAATTGTACTTTAACAATTAATTGAAGGATTGTTGTAGCAAAGAGAACAAATGGATTAATGTAGTAAAAAATAATTGTAGATAAAATACACCTACTAATCAATTGAAAAAAACACCATTGAACAATCCTTCTAAAATCACTTAAAAGTAAAGGAATCTTGGTAACCATTTCACTTTAACAAACTCTGAAGTTACAACCATTTCCTACAATTTCTCTCCCATTTTCTATCCAATAGAAAAAATAGTTGTAAAGTTCAAGGTAATCATTTAAACTATCGTGAAGGGAAGAAAGTGTATAAAATAGCTACACCAACATTCATTATTATAAAAAACCATGATTTCATTTCACTGACATTCATGGGGAGAATGTATGTATAGCCTACATCATCATTCTGTTTTGACAAAACAGGAAAGCTTCTAGTCTCCCAAGTAAAAGCGGCAAACTGACATAGAACACTCAAACTTCACTTGTCCTCTTTCTGCAACCAACTCTAGCAAACATGTATCACAAATACATGCACCTCAAGCACATGGTACTTCTGAAATAAGGATAGTATAGACAGTCTTGCTAACAGTAGTATGTAGCAATCTAGAGGCAATATAATTAAACAGTCAATTTCCTATCAAAAATCCAACTGAAAGGAACAATGGATGTTTGCTTAGCCCTTGCCTGAGCTCTTTCCTCCAACCTTCGAATCCTTACCGGTAGTCCACACACAAAGTCTTGAGCTCTACGTCCCTCACCCGAAAGACCCGTCAGCTTCTCTACATTCCATCTTCCTACAAAAAATTCCAATATATCGGCATAATCCTTAGCAGTGTATACTCCAATCCGCTGGGCAACGGATGAGTAGTGTTCGAATAGGTTATCATCATGGCCATCAAACATTAAGTGGGCTGGCATTGAGATTTTTTTCTTCATCATGTCAGCTAAGGCCAATACAGCGTCATCTGGGTCAATCTCAAAGAGCTTCTCCACAATCTTAGTATAGGCACCTTCATGGCGTTTCTCATCTGAAGCTATGAAACCACATATCTGAGCCAGTTTCAAGTCCCCATGTTCCTTGGCTAACCTTGCCGTGTTTCCATGGGAAATGAATGTTGCTCTTTCTTGAAATGAAGTATAGATGAAACCTAGGTAGGGGTTGTTTTCCGTTTTAGGATCCTAATAATAAACCAAAAAGAAAAGAAATAAATATTAAGAGCCTGCTTGGACCGGTCCGGAAAGCTCAGGAATCCCATGCAGCTAAATCAAAAAATATATATATTAAGAATGTAAACTATAAAACTAACAATTTTGAAACCATCAATAAATTAACATCGACCACGTTAACGGATGTGGCACCAATAGCGCCAACTCCTCATACAGTCCATTGAGGAGGTTGCTGACATGGCACATGGGTACATCTAGAAGATCAAATTGCCCATGCAGAAAAAGCTCAATTAAAGTTTTGTTAGATTATGTCAATCATGAAACCATTATACTTGGTCCCATTTTAGACTACAGAAAAGTATATAGTCAATGACAATGGTGGTCCACACTAGTATTCCAGATTATGGAGCGTTGCCAAAAAATAACATAGTTTCTTGATGTTCCTAATAATTAAATGAGTCTGGCCAACATGATAAACCTTACCAGTAACGAGACATTGAGAAACTTATTAGCAAGGAAATCTAAGAAGAAGCTTTGATTTCAGAAAATTTATGGCCAAAAGAAGATATTGTTAGGTAAATATACTATCTAATGCCATCAGGATTAGACATTAAAGTGCCATAATTAATCAAAGTTCTGTTAAGAGAGCATTACTGGGAGAGCTCCAGCTGAGAAAGAGCCGTTCCTTTTGGTTGCATAGTTTTTTCTACAATAAAAAAGATGCAAGAAATAGAAGGATAATCTTACCATTCCTGATCCTATCAGATACTGAATTGTCTTCTCAATCTGTTTCATATCTACTCGTCCAGAGAGGTAAAGATATCTGTTAAGAAGGTCACCGTGCCTATTTTCTTCAGCAGTCCAAGCCCTGGTCCAGATCGCCCAAGAAGTAAGGCTAGCACCTGTTTCATCTCTTACGCCATCTAGAGTATTCAACATTGTCTGGTAAGTTGGAAGAGCTTCTTCGGTGATCATATCTCCAACCAACACAACAAAATAATCATCAGGAAGCTCTTTGCACCTTTCCCTCAATTCCTTGACGTGATCATAGAATCCTTCTGATTGAGGTAGTGGCAAAAAGTCACTTGGTTGCCAACTACTCTCAACTGGTTTCAAGAGCACCAAAATGTTTTTTTCAGCCCAATCATTCAAGGACTTGAAGATCTCTATCTTTTCTGGAGCCATGGAATGAGTCACTTGAACATGTACCTCTCGTGGAGGGCCGTATGGCTTCTTTAGATTGTTGACTTCTCTGTAACCCATAGAACAAGAAGTAATGAACTTGAAAAAATAAATTTTGATGTGCTTTTACAATAACAACTTTCATTGGCACGATGGGATCTATTGTCTTGAAAATCAGAGCAGCTATGCACAAATAAATGTCAAATTCCAGAAGCTCAATATCTTCTTTCTTTTCTTTTTCCTCTTCCATTGTTATTAAAATAAGGAGCTAAGTAAAACCCAAAAAGATATAAACATAAAAATGAGGCATTCTAGGAGTGGCTTATATTTTAAATTTTGATTTAACAATATTTAAGGACGGTAATTCTAACATAGATTCAAAGAATGATAGCTTTGCTCTGTGACAAAATGGTTGATCTGGAGGATGAATATTTTCTTGAATTGTTTAATACAAACTTTAAATCTCTTAAATATACTTCTCTAGCATTAGCCCAAGCTGGTTATTTTGCACTAGTCCAATCTTTTCTATGCACAATGTGCTATGATGGCATTTTGATTGTATTTGTTTATGAAGTTAAGAAACATTTAACATGGCAATTTTAGATTCAGATGAGAGCTTATAGAGAAATATAATTCATGGACACTAGAGATAATGCCGGAGAATAAAAGAATATGAATGCAATGCCTTGACCATCACAAGTCCCCCAAGCAAGAGGTTTTGATAGAATAAAGTGGTATAAAAAAGTCCAAGGGAATAAGTTAAACATATAAACATCTGACCTAACGCTCAACAAATGGAAAACGAAACAAAACAAAATAACTAAAAAAAAATGCATACATGTCTTTGAAACTGAAAGGGACATACAAAGGCAATGTTCAATATCAACATTATTACCAAGATTCAGTAATAACAATTATATCTGATGATTATCAAATCAAATGAATCAACATTCAGCAGCAAAATTTTATTTTATGGTGCAATCCCAACATAAAATTGAATAGAAAAATTGATGCAAGCAAATACAAAAGATTCCAAAATAAAACAAAATAATAATAATTGCATGCATCAAGAGTAAAAACAGACACATAAAAAGGATGGTCAGAAAGTTTTGAAAAATGAAATTACATGAATTATGTCTCAAAACTTGATTTTTAGCAACATGCAAACATAACATCCGACCCCCTAGTTCAGTTGGTTGCACGTTTGAGTTCAAAATCCTATTACCTACATCTCATTCTTCTTTATCCCACACTGCTGCTTCTTTCGTAAAATAACAAAAAAAAAAGCAGAAATTTAATAAATTCAGAAAAGGGTATCCTACCAACCCCAAATCAATACCAAAAATTTATTTATCTAAATAGATTGCCAAGAAATAGAAAAAAAAGTCAAATTCCCATGCATAAAGCCACACTTGAAAGACCAAAATTGCATGAGATCAGAAAAAAAAATCCCCAAATGAAGGAAATTTTAAGTTCATTTTAGCATTGAATAGAAACGACATCAGATTAGAAAAAAAAATCTATCTTTTGATAAAAAAGGAAGAAGCAAAATCCCCTATTATCCAATTATTCATTAAAGGAAAGAAGAAAGGGAAAAATATATACTTAGGAGAGGAGGGGAAAGTGGAGAGCATGGTGACTCTTGGATATCTAACAATATTGGAACGATAAGGAAGCACGCAGGCTGAAGGAAAGATCACAGGATTCAACATCAGAGCCATTTTTTTCTTCCTTTGCGTTTCTTGTTGTTTTTGCGGCACGCACAGGAAGAGAGAGCTTTGTTTGATTTAGTTACTGGATTTGCTTCGCGAAATTGTATTTCCCAAATATAAAAGAGACGGATCGAGGATTCCTCATTAGTTGGGCAAATATTTTAATTTAATTTATTAAATTTTTCATTGAAATATAAATTAATATAAAAAATTTCAAATAAAATTTAACATGTATAATAAATTTTTATGTCATATATAAATATAATATTTACATAATTAAAATTAATTATTTAATTATTGACGAATATAACTTAAGCACCATACACACATATAAAAACATATAAATATGTATATATTAATTTAATAAAATTTCAAGTACTTATAAAATTCTTAAAATAAATGTAATATGTGAAAAAATAAAAATTAATGTCTAGTTTTATCATCTATTTTCATATCTTAATTATGTGGAGAATTAAAATACCTCAATCCTTATATATAATGAAATTAATTTTTTTTAATATTCAATGAAAACAAAGAAAACATGTTAGTTCAAGATTTTTTTAATTTTTTATTCTTATTAATTCACACTTTATATATTATCTATATGAATTTTAAAAATTTTTATTTGTTTTCCTACAAAATTACTATATATTATAGTAAAAATGTTTACCACCTAAAGCATAAATGTTTAATTATTTTTTAAAATAAAATATTCAATTATTAGATAAACAATAAATATTTTTTTTATGAGTCTCAATTTAATGAGGACAAATATGATGAAAAAAAATTTAGTGGAGGCAAAACTTAAGTTTTCTAAAATTTATAAGATTTTTTTATAACTAAATTTAAAAATTTTAGGCTCTTAGCGGGGGCAATTGGCCCCACAACACCATATATAGATCCGTCCTTGGTTGAGAGTTGAAAGCGAGAGAGATGGAAACGCTTGGCCGTTTAGTTGCATGCAAGCAAGAGAGAGATGGAATCCTTTTTAAATGCCCTCCTCTCTTTTATTTATTTACACCTTTGCCATTCTGTTTATTGCTATACTTATGTAAAAAAAATGCCTTTGTTTTTTTTTTTAATTTAAATTGTTTGAGAAATGCTAAAAATTTTTGGAAAATAATTATTATTTTTATTTTTTATGCTCAAGACATGTCTCTTGACGATCGTAGAGAAATTCGATATTTTGTAATGGTTCATAATTTTATACAAATTAATTATTTCTTTTTTTTTTCTTGAAAACGTTAAAAATGAAGTTAGGATATATCCATTATGCTCTATTATATCGTTGTGACCCTTTATTAACTTGCACCTTATTATTTTTTTAACTATTCAAATAATCTTATCGGGCTTGCATGTAAAAAAAAAAAAAAATCTATTCAAGTATTCATCAGATTAAAGCTTAACACGTGACACATGTACATAATAAAGAGTAAGGTGAATGGCAACTAGGGATAGAATTCAACCCAACCTCGATGGGTTTCGATCCGACCCGACTCTATGAGGTTGGTTTTATTTTTTTTTAAATTCAGATTTCGGGTCAAGTCGGGTCGGGTAAGGTTAAAAAATAATAGGATTCGGGTTTTAGGCAAATCCGACCCGATATTATATAAAATATTATTTTTTAATTAATTAATTATTTATTTATTTATATATATATATTTATATAATAATATTTTTAAATATTTTATATTAAAAAAATAATATTTTATATTTTAAAAAAATATTTTATTAATTTCAGGTCGGATTTGGGTATGAAAAAATAAAAAAAATTTTAAGTAGGGTCGAGTTCGGGTTTATTAATGCATTTAGGACGAGCAAAACCTGTCCCGAACTCGATCCAATGCCAACCCTAGTGGCAGCGTGTTTGAAGGGGAAGTCCTTTAAATGAAAATACGGATGAAAAGAGGGGATGAAAGTAGTAAGGAGGGATGTAACTGCTGAAAAATGCTGTTGTGTTTGACGTCAGCAAGAAAGGTACGTGAAGAGTAGATGTAAGGGATTGAAATGTGAAAGCTTAGAGGGAGCATCATGTAAGCTGGTGGGAATTGCGAAGAAAATATATTCCAAATGGATACACGATCCTGCTTCGTGCTCTCCGCTCTCCGCTCTCTCTTCCCTTTTGTTTTCTCTTCATTTCTTGCTCTCTAAAATCACAATTCTTTTTCTAATTTAAATTATTAAGGAATTCAATAGTTATTCCCTTTTTTTTTCAATTAAAAAAAGTGAGAAAAATATCTCCATCTTGTTATGGATGTACATTGTTTTCTTTTTCTCGTCCAAATTGAGACACATTCTCTTTAAATAATTAATATTTAAAGAAAATTTGATTTTATTGCCAATTTTAATACCTACATTTAAGTTCATGTTGTTAATTTTTAAATTTTATTTAACTGATTATTTCACCTCGATATATTGAAATATTTGATTCACTAATATTTTACAAATTTTTTCATTTATAAGTGAATTTTAATTAGAGATGACAATAAATAATAAATAAATAAATAAATGTTCAACATTATTTGATTCGATTATATTAAATTTAAATTTTTATAAATATATAATTAATAAATTCGGATAATAGATTTATTATCGTGATAAATTTGAATAGATTTTGGATAGTTCTTTTTGATTATCCAATATTTAAATTCATTTAAATCTTTTAAGAGATACTATCAATAACCAAATCCGTTTTCATTATATATGCAAAATATGTAAAATTTTATTCTTGTGAAAAGATTCAAACCTTAGCAAACAATCTTTACTTATTATTAATTAAGAATGAACTAAAATTTTAAATATAATTCTTATTTATTTTATATTTTAACAAAAAATTTAAGTAAACAAGTAATTTAATATATTCAAATATTTAATGGATAGTACTTATTTAATTGTATATAGATTCAGATAGTGATACTAAATTTAAAAGGATAATTAAATGAATTCGGATATCATGAAAATTAAATGGATTCGATTACAAATACCTAAAAAATAACGAATATCTACTTCGTTGCCATCATCAATTTTAATCTCCTTATCTAAAATAAGAAATTATGTAACATAAAAATAATTTATTACATAATATACATGATAAATTATCCTTCCTTTTTCTAAAAAAATTTTATTCTTCCTTCGTCCCAAAATGATAAGTCTTCATTAACTCTTTTTTTTTTCTATCAAATTAATTCAATTTTAATCATTATATTTTTAAATTATAAAATTAAAAATTTTAAAAATACTAAAAATTTGAGTTTTAATTTTTTTTAAAATTTTAATTCAATATAATATTTTAAAAAAAGGTTCAAAATGTTTTATTTATGTTTGTGTTGGTTTTGAAAAAGACATAAAACTTTCAAAGAATTCAAACACATAAAAGAAAAAAAGAGGCAGAGATTGACAAAGAGAAAGAAAGTCTCAAACAAGTCATTACATTCAAAGTAAAGAATTTATACTGTGGATAACATATGATTTTTGCTTTGAAATTTTATTCTCAATCAATGAATCAAGCACACAAACATTTGCAATCCTATAAGTATTTAAATTTCATATTGATTATTGATTATGTTGTTTATCTCAATAATCTCTGTCGTAATAGTTTTATGTTCGTCCGATAAATTTGAAAACAAAATAAAAATATAACAGAGTCGCCACCAATCTTTTTTGGCTAGATGCGATTGGCCACCTATTAAAATTTATCCTTTTAATAAAATTAATTAAAAATTATTAAAAAGATAATTTTATGGTTTACGAAACAGTCTGGGTTTAGGAGTCAGTTACGTGTGGGAAATGATTAGCACCCCCACAACGCCTGTTTAGAAACGGTACCACTTAAATACTTGTTATCCTATGATTTTAATAAAAAACAATCTTATTTTTGGTGTTTGAAAAATATTTTTTTTGATTTTTTGATTTTTTGGAAATATTTTTTTTATTATTCAAATTTTATTCGAAAAAAATAAATTAGAACCCTTTTATTGAAATAACTCTTAAAATGTTTCAGTACGTTAGTAACATTAAAAGAACTATCTTTCACCTAAAAATTTCTTAGGCATCGCTTTTTGAAATACCTTAGCATCTCATCTTCAGAGGTTTAAATTTACTTTTCGTAAAAAATTATGTCATGCATGCAATATAAAATGTTTTCATGTTGATGCATACATTTTATTCTCTTTTTAGAAATTTTTATTAATTGTTTTATTTAATTTTTTAATTTTTTTAAATTTAAATCTGGAAGAAAATTATTTTTTATTATATTGAAGTTTTTATATAAATATTTCAATACACTGCTAATATTTAAAAAATATTCTCACATAGAGATTTCATAAAGCATCACAACTCATAATACTTTTAGAGTCCCATCATTAGATAAAATTTTTTTTCTCATTTATACTACTTTATTTTATTTTTTTTTATAAATTAGTTAATTTTATTTTTATTAATAGAAACGAAAATCTTTATTATATTGAAATTTTTTTTATAAATACTCTAATACACTGGTAGTATTAAAAAAAATATTCTCATTTAGAGATTTTGTAGGTATCACTACTCGGAGTACCTTTGAATCTCATCGTTGGATAAAAAAAAATTTTCTTACATTTTTTATTAATTTGCATTATTTTTATTTAATTATAACATTTTTTTTACCAATTATTTTATAAAGGTTTATTCAAAATTATAAAAAAATTTTATTATATTTTTCATCATTTACTTTTATTAATTATTATTATAAAACTATAAAAATTTATTCTTGTAAATTTTAACATTTTAACATGCATAAATATTAAGAATAATAATTAAAATAACAAAAATAATATATAAAAAATCTAAAAAAAAATTTTAAAATTTTTTTTTACTTGAACCGGACCGGTCAATGGTATGGTCAACGTGCGCTTTGGGTTGGTTCGATTCGCTTTGGGTTGGTTCAGCTGGACCAGTCAGAGGGTGAAGGAAAAGTGGGTCTCTAGGTCAGGTGCACGGACCCCAGGTCAGGTCACGAGTTGACGTGCAAATCCTTAGGGCTCAAAATGGCATCATTTTGGGCATTATTGAAACAATGTCGTTTTGGTTTTGACACTTTTTATAAAAGTAAAAAAAAAAAATTTCTCTCATTTTCTCTTCTCCCTTTCTCTCTCTACACTCTTAGAC